GCATCCGGCCAAGGATGGTGCAGCCCAGGATGTGCCATAAAAGCCTTCGGATGCGGTGAGTATCCACGGGCGGGGGAGTCCCTTGGTTCTGACAACACCTTATCCAGGTGCTGGTTGAATCTGGATTTCCGGCCTGGAGCTTTAACAACTTGTCTGCGCAAGGCAAAAAGTGTGCAAGCGCAAGCCTACTTGAAAGGCCTTGCCTTTTGGGTGGAAGATGTGGAACCCATCGCAAAAAGGTTAGAAAGCGTGGATTCCACTTGGCAACTGGGCAGGGGAACTGACATTTCTAGTCACACCAAGCACTCATTCTCCGACACCTAAGTCCTTACAATGCTGACGCATCCTCTCCAGCCTGCCAGGATTCTCCAGACACACCCTGACCGAAATTTAAAAAAAGCCGATTGGGGGAGGCAAGGGAGGAAAGACCCTTGCGGAGGTTCTCATGGGCTGGTCGATTGCCTAAATCTTACAAGTCAAAGCGCAGACCCGTGGACATTAGCAGGGGCGACCCTCTCAGCAAAAACAAGATTTCGCCAAGTGGCGTGTCGGCGAAGAAAAGGAAAAACGCAGCGCCTCAGCGGCACAGGCGACCAGCGGGAGGCACCACCCAAAACAAACGCCGCTCGCTTCCATGCCCCACATATGCCACGGCGCACACACAACAGATACAGCCATAACTGGGATTTGGTGCATCACATGACAACGGGTGCCGCAGTCTGACTTTCAATCCAGAAGTTCTCTGAAATCTGTGAATTGCCTGAATTCACCGCCTCCAGCACGAACTCCGAAGCTTTCTGTCCCGCTGTCTTAAAGTATGCTTAAGCTGAGGCTTGGCATATCTGAAAGCTTGCGCAGGTCAGGAACGCGGCGTTCAGGTCATGTTAAAGTTTGGGCTTGCGCAAGCCGCTCGCTGAATCCTCCCGAATAGGACCTCCGTTCAATTGAGAGCCCCCCCTCCCCCCGCAAGGGCTCCAATTGCCGGTGAGGCATCAGTTCAATCCATTCATGGCATCAACTGCGCCCCATTGAAATTGGCTGTGGAGGTTGCCATCAAGTGGGGCCAAGAGACACAGAAGTTGAGACCAATCCAAAACAATTGAGTGAGACTAGGTAGCACAAATCTCTTCACACTGGCAAGTAGTCAAAGAGAACAAGTAATCTATGGGGTCATTGTGCTAACAACGTTCGCCCTAAGCAACCAGAAGGGGCTGATGCAGCCCAAATTGGCAACTTGGATGAATTTCTCCAGACATGCGCGAAAACAAGCGCTTCCGCTGAACACATCACCCGGGTGACAGTTTTGTTGCTTAGCAATGGCGCTTCTGTAAACAGACATGGTCATAAAGTAGAAGCTACATGTGCGGTACTATCTCCGAGCATTGTTGCAGCCACGTTTCGTTCTATGATTGAAATATCATAGGTGATGCATTTGCATCACGATTCAATTACCTGCATTGCACAACACTTTGCACTCCAAAGGGCTGACCCTTGATATACTACCTTGATGTACAACACGTTACTCGAGGTGGCATCGCTCGACGGAACACACTGGAAGTGCGTCCACACTGGAAATTAGATGGGGGCTCACATCGAAGGATCCTCCATCCCCTGGTTTCCTTGTGAAATCCCAAACACCTCAGCTCTGCATCCAAAGTTCCAAACCAGTATGCAAACCCGGGCGGTGCTTCTTTGTTTTGTGGCAATTAACATCTGTCCCCATGACTTTCCCCGAGCAAAAAGTGCCGAGGCGCCCCAAACGCCGCACTCCTCCACGAAGTCGCGGCTCAGGGGCGCGTTCAGCAGGAGCCCTCGCCAGCCCTCGGAATCGGCCCATGTCCGGTCCAACAGTGGCATTCTGCCTAACGAAAAGGGGGCCGAACTTTGGCTCAAATCCATTTTTGTAATCTACGGATCACCGTTTGGCTGAAATTGGTGTTCGGATTTCAGCAAGATGTTTTGCAGGGGGGAAAGTGACTAAACTAGTTTGGGGGTGGATGCCCTTCACCAACGTGTAGAGGATGATGTCGTACAAGTGTCGCTTCAATGCCCGCAACAAATACAAACCCACACAACACCGACCACTTGAAGGGGTCCCCAATTGGAGAGCGTATTACGTGACCAAAGGTGGAGGTCACTTCTTCTAACAAATCTGACGGCGACAATTGGTTTCCCCATTGCACCAGCAGAACACTATCAAAACTACTTGTGCGCTGAGTTATGTCGCTTGAGACGTCAGATTGTGTCCCTTGTGTAAGGGGCTCACTTCCCCTTAGGAACAGACCATTGTTATCAGAGGCTTGTCCTAAATAGTGGGCAAAGTTTTCCCACCCAAAGGGGAACCCTGGAGGCAGTTGGCTGCGTCTTAAAATAGGAGGACCCACAAAAATGATAGGGTTTCCCGAACCACCCCCAAGAGGATCGGTTTAAAGACAAACCTATAGCCCAAAATGGACCCAATTGAATTGGTGACGATTGATTTCCGATTGGTCCCCTAACCACCCCCAAAAAAGGGTCCCCTTAAAAAGGCGCGCCTTTTTTTAGCCCAAATCGAATTGGTAGCGCCAGACAGCTCCTTCCCTCGGCTTTAGGCGCCGGCCGCCCGGGAAAACACCATGGAAGACGAATATTGACCTCAGGCAAATCGGACGAGAGCCATCCCTCCAAATGGGCCTCTCCAGAGGAACGCCGGATTGGTGACTAAGGTGAAAATCACTTCCTGAGTTGACTAAGCAAAAAGTCCAAACATTTTGTTTGCCACTGCAATGGTCTTCCCAACAGCCTGAACTGAAGTCCAGGAATTCAGGAAGTGAGGAAGCATACAGGAATCCGACCATTGCAAGAAGGTTTGGGCAAAAGAAACATGAAACAAAACCACCCCCCTCACTTTGACGAAGCAAAGCGCGTCGAGGTTATTGAGCCAACGGGCCAGCTGCGCTCAACCCGACAGAACGTCAAAGGGCGAGTTATGCTACTAGATGATCCCCCTGCATCCGTGTGAACCAGCTTACTGGTTCGCGATTTGCGATGTCAAACACCTGTTTTCTAATACGTGCTTGGGGTCAGACCAAATCATGGCATGACTATCGTAAATATATCTTTATATATATATGTATACGTATTAGTTGTTTATGTTTTCTAGGTAGACGAACCTGTCAGTACATATTGTTCTTTGCTTGCCTCACCTTTAGTCGCCTGATGTCGCCTGTACATTGCAACATGTCTCTCGCCCCAGTTGCCCAGTGCACGAATTGTTGGAACAACTTATGTTGCGGGCTGAACCGATTGTATAGGGGAACCCAACAAAAGGGATCAGGGCCGGAGTCCCACATAGCAACTGGCACAGAGTTCTCTGTCAATTGGTAAAAGCTTCATCAAGCAGAAAGCTCACTTGAAACAACCCAAAAGGTGTTTAAACTTGCGGCCGACCGGACCTCTCACAGTATGCCACAGAGACTGAAACTGCTCATGAGCAACGGGTATTCAAGAAACATCGGGGCAGGGATGTACCAGGAGTGCATACCGGTGCGTCCCGCGCGAGAGGGCCCGGGCTCAACTGCAGCTTCCCGACTGAGCGCAGCATCTTGGAAATCAAGCCTTGGGGTAGGCACACGGGCTCTATGAGATAAGAAAGGCTTGATCATGCCAAGTGTGTGCCCATTCAATTTATTAAGACCCAAAGAGAAAAATCGAATCAGTTGAAGTTACAGCATCCAAAGACACCCTACAAGAGGTGTTAAATGGCATTTCCCTCTTGGAACGAACCAAGTCATGGTCAAAGGGACTAGCCGTATCAAACATGTAGACCGTCTGTAGACCCATTCAAATTCTTGCCCCAAAGGACATGGTTTCCTTGAAGGTCCAATCGGACATGGAGCCCCCATGAGCCCCCGTTGGGACATCTCGGTGTCCTCAAGCCAGCGTCGCTTGCAAACATCACACCACCCCAAAGCAAACTCAATGGGCTTGCCAAGGCTTGCAAAGCCTTCATTGTTGCAGTGGTACTTTTGATGTCAGGCCCGGCACTTGGTGGTGTTGCTACTTTGCTCACATCATGAAAGTCCAACCATTCTTGAGAAAATATTGGGTGAGTTTCCAGAACACCTGCGGTGGAATATCGGAAACTCTGGGGTGAGGAAGGTAAGGTCCCTTAATACACACACATAGTACTAGAATAATGAGCGCGTCCTATCACAGCCCTTTAAGCGATGTCTTGGCTGCGGGCGGACACATTCGCATCCATCAACAAATATTTGTGTGGTCAGGCATGGCCTTCAAGTTGCTCGGCTGCACACCTGTTGGCATACCTACCTCCGCGAGGCTTAGCTTTGAACTGGCCTGAGTCATTGCATCGGACATGCCCGAAAACCGCCTTGCTGGCGGGTGAGAGCAACCAGAAAAGTTCCACGCGATTGCAAAACCCTGGGCGCTAGGGATTTGGATGCATGTTGCCATTGCCCTCCAAAAAACGGCTACACGCGCGTGTGTGTGTGTGTCATGGGAAGCCCGCCTCTCCAAACGGTAACACCCACAAAATGGAAACGGGGCATGTTGAAGGAGAACTCCTTTGGCCCCACCCAGACGTGGCTGACAGTTCGTAGGCTCCGGCCGTAATAGGCAAGCACACACTTCACGGTGAGCACCAATGCCTTGGCACATTTGCAAAAAGTGATCCCCAGCTGGAAATCACGAGGGCTCCAAATGGATGTGGATATGGCAATGGCTCAAAAAAACAGGTATGGATCGTTCTGCGGTGATCCGCACGTCTGGATCGGTCTGGATCACCTGCGTTTTGGTCTGGATCAAGGACCTCTGGTCCGGACCTTATATTTTGAGCCACAGCCATATCTAGGGCTTGACGATTCAAGGCTGGGGCCTGCGACAAAGATATCCGGCCAGCTTAGACCCCAATTGCACAGAGAACCCCAAAAACAGAGGCGAGATTCGAGATGTCCTCTACATCATATGGAGGGCCACACTGCCTTTGAATTGGCCATCACAGAACTATGCTCCCTTCCATTTTGGATGCTGAATGGGATCCCGAACGCTCCCACCAACACTAAGCCATGCATGATGATCGTTGTCGTGAAATCTTCCGCGTCCCCCACTATGCTGCGGACCGTTCCGGGGGAACCAAGAGTTTCTATGATGCTCTAGTAGTGGCGGAGATCGGAGACAACGCTGGAGCGGACGCCTCCCTTTGCCGCTTCACTGCATGGTATGGCTGCCATCCACCAGAAGAGCTTGTGATATGCTCGACTGCATAAACACGTCACCTGGGAAAGAAAAGGTAGGCGTGCGTATGTGGAACAAGGGGAGAAGTGACAACTGAGAGAACCGTCCTATGCCGCTACCCTGCAATTCTGCTTCAATGGAGGGCTCTTCGCACGAGCCCTGGACCGTGCAAAGAACTGGGCTGAGATGGCTGAGTCGGGCCATGTTCCTAAAAAGAAAATAAAATATGTGGCATCCGCTAATGTATCAACCATAGATGTCCGGGGGAATGAACTTTATGGATTGAACTCTCCTTTTCGCCAATGAGCGGTTCGTAGAAGGTTTCCCCCCCACAAGTTGCTTGACCAGGCATAGACTTAGACCCTACACAAGTTACTTGAGCACCACACGCTTTTGCTTATTCATTGCTGAATTGGGTAGTCCCTCCCCTTCGTGGAAACGTTGGGAACCTTGGCAGTCCCACGTCCTCTCCAAACGAACCAGCGACTACCAACAGCATGTACTCCAAATCTGGCAATGTCAAGCTGTGACAATTGCTGAATGATGATCCTGCTTCAAGCCTGCGCTGGCAATTATGACCCTTTTAACTGTCGCTGCAGCGATAGGGAGACCTTGGAAAGCTTCGGTGGGGCCCAAGAGTCGGTCCACGAAACCTAAGCCTGGCGCCCAAAACATAAAGCGCGAGAACTGCGCGAGCACAGACACCTGGCACGACTGAGGGCTCTTGGCTGCAAAATACTCTGTGTTCATGGTGCGGGTCCCCAATTCAACTTTCAAAGACTTTCAGCTAAAGGGAAATCGAATTCAGAAAAATGGCGGTCGGGAAAAATGGGATACCGCCCTCGCGCGTGGGGAAACATGGATGTTGTTTGCTGCAGCAATTTGTTCGAACCAGACTGAAACCGGCGACGCTCAGATTGATCCTTGCGGAAGTGGACACTAGGCCTTTTTTAAAGTGTAGTCTTCCAAAGCTTGTCTACTTCCACTGGAAAGAGGCTGCTTAACTTTTGGTTGGGGCAAGACTCAAGATTGCTACCCTGGTTCGTGGTCCAGTTTTTTTTTCAATTGCCCCTACATATCAGCAGCTGGGACTGCGGTTGACATTGGTAGTTGGAGCCCAGTTGAAATAAGCCCCGGCCGGTTAATATGATAGGGGCGCAAAGACATTCGGGAAAGAATCCCGCATCACTTTTGGAGCAGAACACCTCCAAGTTCCTTGGGGACTTCTGTCCGTTTTGACATCCACAATCCCAAGCCACACCGGCGTCCATGTTCCATGAGCATCCCACAACTTCTCGAAGCGTGGCGGCCAGGCCCGAGTCAGCGGCCAAACCGCGTCACCCACCCAAATCGGAAAGAACAGCCCCACGCCGATGCCGATGGCTGAGGCCTCAAAGGCTTCGCTCGGAATTTCCCCCACACCCCCACCGCTTTTCCTTCAACGACAGGGCGGGGAGATGGCGCCATCGACTTTCACCCAGCTTACAACTAGGTGAACCACCAGGTACATTCCTGTGGATTTTGGCTTGTTCTTTCAGAAACCACGGTCCCCAAATTCCGGAAAATGGAGGAATACTTGAGCCACAATTGAATCCCAGTGGCGACTCCCCAAATTTCAAGGGCATGAAATCCAGCAGCCTTTGGACAGACTGATTTTTTGGGTGGGCCAAACCTGCTAGTGGCCAATATGCCGGCATTCCGCAGCAAGGCAAAGCACGCAACATTCAATTTCATTTACTGAGTCGATTGGCAAAAAAACCAAACCTTGTATTTACCACTAAAACTGTTGTTTTCCCAGAAAGTGTTCAGTCCAGGAAGTCAGGAAGTGAGTAAACCCTATGCTTGGAAAGTGCAGAATCGCCCCGTTGCACCCCCAAAAAATAACCGGCCTGTCCCTGCTTCATGACTCGTGGCACCCCAAACCTTCAAGGGAAGCAGCAAGAGAAGAATCAAACTCCAGGAGGGCACCATGCGAAGAGGTTGCAAATCCCACACCCGCCGCTGTGTGCAAGATCATGCAAGCATTGGAACGCATAATTGACACACACACACACCAAACAAAAAACACACACACACACCCACCCACCCACCCACCCACCCACCCACCCACCCACCCACCCACCCGCCCGCCCGCCCACGCACGCACGCACGCACGCACGCACGCACGCACGCACGCACGCACGCACGCACGCACCCACACACACACCCACACCCACACCCACACCCACACCCACACCCACACCCACACCCACACGCACACGCACACGCACACGCACACGCACACGCACACGCACACGCACACGCACACGCACACGCACACGCACACGCACACGCACACGCACACGCACACGCACACGCACACGCACACACGCACCCACCCACACACACACACACACGCACACACACGCACACACATGCGTCGAATGTCCGGCGATTGTGTTTTTTCCTGTGCATGTTTTGTGAACTGCCTACTACTTGCACGCATGGAAAGTGTGGGAGCTACACATCTGTAGCACTTCTTTCGTACTTCAAAAAACATCAAACACTAACGTTTTACCAAGTGTTCATGCGCATGCCCCGGATAGGGTCGTGCGGGGACTGCGAAATAAACGTGCTACCACGTAATCGCGCGTTGCGCGGGGATTTTGAAAAGCTGCAAAACACACATCGACCTGTTCGCTCCTGCTGGGTCGCCTGAATAATTTAAGAGATCGCTCATGAAATACTTCACATGAGCTGGAAAAAATACCGTATTAAAACTCTTACCCCAGGATGTTTTCATTGCAAATCCAAGCGGCGGTCTTCATAAGAGTGAGGTCCCCCAAAAACATGCCCCTTAAGTGTATGAGGTCTCAGGCGTGTACACCGCTGCAAATTGTTGCTGGCTGCTGCTGCTGGCTGCTGCTGCTGCTGCTGGCGGCTGCTGCTGGCTGCTGCTGCGGCTGCTGCTGCTGCGGCTGCTGCTGCTGGCTGCTGCTGCTGCTGCTGCTGCTGCTGCTGGCTGCTGCTGCTGCTGGCTGCTGCTGGCTGCTGGCTGCTGCTGGCTGCTGCTGGCTGCTGCTGGCTGCTGCTACTGCGGCTGCTGCTGCGGGCTGCTGCTGCTGCTGCTGCTGGCTGCTGCTGCAACTCATTGCTGGGATCTGCAGAAACAAAGAAATGCAAACTACAGAAATGGGCCACTCCTGATCCCAGGCATCTACGACTTGCGCGCGACTTGCGCGCGACTTGCGCGAAAATTTAGCAATCTTCCGGATTCTTTCGACCATGCGGATGATGATGATGATGATGATGATGGTGATGAATCATCACTACGTCACTTGCGCTTCACTTGCGCTTTACTTGCGCGGCCCCATGTTTGACTTGCGCGGCCGCTCCTGCAACACACTCCTGCCATTCAAATTACAAGCGGCGGTGCAGCTAATTTGATAGGTCCAAAAGACCTGGGATCATGCCTGACATTGACACATACAACGTTCTGTTTTTTTCTGACTCACATGATTTTTTGTGATCACGGCATAAGGTCTCTGCATAGGATCTCAAGGCTATACCTCACGCACAATCACAAAGAGTAAGATCTCTCCGCAACTCTCTGCAACATATCATGCGCAATCACAGAAAATATTTGCTCAACTAATCTCTGTGTGTCATCTCATCCGTCTGCGTGGCTCTGCGCGCTCTGTCTCTCTCTCTCTCTCTCTCTCTCTCTCTCTCTCTCTCTCTGCGCACGCAGCTGACGATCACTCTGCACGCTGTCTCTCTATGCAAGAGCAAGCCATATTACCGGAAGAACCCTTTGCACTGCTTTCGCAAAACACACAAGGAGCGAACAAAGGAGATGGATTCGAAAAGTCTTGGTTTCACTGGCGAAGCACTAAAAGTTGTGTTATAGGTGTCAATCCAAATGCAAATGTAGGGTCCGAACCTTGCTCAACGCCTTCGGGGACTTGGACGGGGATTTTTTTGCGAAAAAAGGGTCGAGCCTGGCCACCGACACACCTCAACCAAGCCCAGGCGAACGGTCCCTGGAACCCGGCCATGTAGTGGATGACGAGGAGGGGAAAAAGGCTGCGACCAGGAGCTTGGTCCAGCCTCAGGGAAGCCAACAAACCTTTGGTTCTGAACTCAAAGTGCAGCTCTTGTCTGTTTCTAAAAGGATCCCCAAAATAAGTCCAAAATAAGTGGTTTCCCTTTCGTCTTCCTGCAAGAGAAGACAAACCCGACTCTTCAAAGCACCACATTGGTGCTACTGGTACCTTAATCGCGAAACGGTGCATCCTTTACGCCGCATAAGGATTAGTGCCAAAATGGGAGGATTGCCCAGCTCCACTGGGCAGCTCCCCTCAGCAGCTGATGGGAGTAGAATTGATGCCATCCCCAACGGACGGATCGCATCAGCTGCCAATACCAACGGACGAGCTGGTCGTTGGGGAGGTCCTCCCTCCACGTATGCCGTGTGGTCCCGCTGTCGCATTTCAGGGCCCTCGGCACCTGTGCGTCCAGCGGTCCGGCTGCGGTCCACCCGGTGCGGACCCCGTCAATCCGCCGCCTGGGATGCCCGGGGACATCTCAGGGCCCTCGGCACCTGTGTCCCCTGGTTCCCGGGGCACTGGCCCCCTGGGATAGGGGTGAGAACATCTCAGGGCCCTCGGCACCTGTGTCTCCCCCCCTCCAGGCCCCTTCGGGGTTGCGTGTCAGGGCCTTCGGCACCTGCGCTCCCCGCTGGCCGCGGGGCTGGGCCCCTGGGTGCCGGGGAGGGCGTATCAGGGCCCTCGGCACCTGCGCCCTCTCCCCCTGCCTCCTTGCCTTGAGGCATGGGGGGAAGCGTGTCAGGGCCCTCGGCACCTGCGCTATCCACCCCTCACTCAATTTCCGGGAGGACGACCGCCTCCTTGTCCGACTGAGTGTCCACGCTCTCGTCGGTGTCCGAGGAGAGGGAGATGGAGGCCTCGGAGTCCTGTGCTGCGTAGGGCTCCACGGCCATCCACGTGTTCGGGAAGGTGAAATGCCGGAAACATCTGGTGCATCCCAGGTACACCTCCGGCTCAGCATGGAAGTCCTGCTCCGCCAGCTCCGAAATCTTGAGCGGTCCCGGCCTCCAGCCGCACCCCACTGTGACTCCATCTGTGTCCAGTAGGTGCATGCTGTAAGCTTTGGTGGGACCCTTTCGGGCCGTGGTGGCTACCACCGTCAGTGGACCCCGAGGCGGGGGCACCTCATCCGCAGCCATCTTGGTGATGGCCGGCTTGTTGGCGGGGATCACATCCCAGCTGGCATTCGAGGGCGGTGTGTCCGGGACTTCCTTGAACAAGGCCTTCGGTGAGGCCGGGCACTCCACCTTGTCCTCCCAGTCCTCATGTCCGAGGTCGACTCGGACCGCCCTTCCTGCCTCGAGTTGCATGGACGGGAGCTTCTGGAGGACCTGGTCCCAGATGGAGCACACCACGTGTCGCTTCTCCCGGGTGTAGACATCCGCCGTGGACTCCTTGAACCAGTTTCCCAGGTACTGGCGCTGGTCCCTCGGTATGTGCGCCTGGAATGCCAAATCCGGCATGAAGACCCGGAAGGAGTACCATGAGAGTTCAGCCACGTCCTTGACTGGCGCGCCCTGCTTCCCCAAGGCGTCTTTGAGCCACCTCAGGGACCTGTCTGGGGTTCCTGGGCGGGGGATGAAGCCCGTCCTGTCCTTGTTGATCGTGGGGATCAGGTAGTCCATCTCGCGGAACTCCTCCGAGGCCCTGAATCTCTTCCACCACCGCTCCAAGGGGATCCACCATCTGGCCCCCGAGAAGGAGAACAATGGGGCGATGAGCGGGACCGGGTTCCGTTTGATGGCCACTGCCGACGTGGTCTTCGTTTGCCAGGCCAGCAGCTCCAGGGTGTTGCTCGTGGACTTGACCGTCTGCGGCGAGGTGTGCTGCACGTCGTTGAAGCGCGCACTGCAGGCCAGGTTGAACCTGGCCATCGCCATGATGTACCTGTCCACTGCTTTGGTCAGCTCCGGGACCCGGTTCTCCGGCGGGGCCCCTTCTGCCCCTTGTTCCAGGGCCCAAACAATTGCCCGGGTCGGAACCACCGCCTTGCGTTCGTCAACGTTGAGCATGCCGAGTTTAATGGAGAGCCACTTTAAAGTGCCCCACCACTTCTGGAGCTTCGCCGGGGTGACCTCCAACGTGACCGCCTGGTTCATGAGGTGCCGGACGTCGCCGGCCGTCCAGGGGAGGTTCTGGAAGCCGATCTTGCGCATGCCCTCATAGGCCAAGCAGTGTGCCCGGATGGTACGGAACCGGGCATCACCAAAGAGGTGGCCAAACTCCTCCAGCTCCCTGGCCCCCATCACCTGGTGCATGTAGGGGATCTGGTGCCGGAAGGGGATGAAGTATCCCAGGAGGCGTTCCAACCACCTGGCCCTCAAGTGTTGTTCCAACGCTCTCTGAGATGTCGGCAATTGGGTTTTGATCTTCCCTGGTTTCCAATGCCGCCACTTGTTGGCCACTGCCAGGACATCCGGGGCCTCAATCGATCCGGAAAGGATCCACTCTTCGCGGTCCCGGATGGCCTGTTCCATTTCCAGTGGAGAATAGGTGTGCGATTGCCTGGCGCCTGCCGCACGAAACAGAAGTTGTTGCAGGGTCTTAGTAGCGAGCTCCAAATCCGCCTCCTCCAGCGGTTGTGGTTGGGAGCCGAGTATCCTCGCGAGGATCAAGTTGTAGGTGTCCGAGGCCACCAGGACGTGGTTGCCGTCAGGTGCCAGCCCCACGATCCGTGTCCACGGCCGCGGGTCAAAGACCACCGCATCCGGGTTGGCGACCTTGTCCTTTTTGACCCATTCCAGGCAGCACGCCACGAGGATTTCCCCGTCCGACTGCACTGGTGCAAATCCAAGGTCATGCAAAATCAACTGGAGCGCGGTTGGCGCCCCTAGGAAGGTCGTCCCAAACGGGGAAGGGAGGCGGGGCCTCCACATCATCATGATCCACTCGAGCCGGGGGCCTAGTCCCTAGGTGCAAACCCCAACCAAACAACAGGGGGCCCCCCAAAACCCCGGAAAGTCAACCCCGAAACGGAGGAAACGGGGGAAAAAGGGGGACCCAGGGAGCCGCCCCGAAAAGGGAAAACCAAACAAGAGAGGGGAACCAAGGCGCACCCCGGATCAGCCCAAGCCGCGCCAATTTTCCTCGCCTGGTGCAAGTCTGGGCCTGCGCTGTTCCCTGGGGGGGGATATCAGCGCCTTCGGCAGCTGTCCCCCCCCCGGGGTGCGCTGCGCATCCGTTCCGGATGGCCGCGGTCCTGGATGGTGTGCCGGAAGATGGCGTTGTCCCGCATCATCACGCGGCCCCCTTCGCGATGTCATCGATGCGCTTGAGCGCAGCAGCCTCCGGATTCCGCAGAATCAGCTCCCAGATGGCATTGGAGACGTGGCCTGTCTGGGTGGTCTGGCTGAATCTGAACCTGGGCACCTTCTGGTCCACGATGGAGACGTCCCGCAACGGGGCCGAGGGCTCCACCCGGCGGTAGTACTCCAGCCGCTCCTTCACCCAGCGGTTGTAGAGGCCCTCCGGCGGCTCGTCCAACACCAGCTGCAAGATGGCCTTGCCGGCCCGGATCTGGAGGAGGCGGGTGCCCCCTCCCCCGGCACGCCAGTACCCCTTACAATACTTGCACATGTAGCCCCCCCGGGTCTCCCCTTTTGTCTTCGGGATGAGTTCCCACGGGGTGACGGAGCTCAGGACCAGGCCACACTCCATGTGCGCCCAGAAGACATGCTTCATCTCCACCGGATAGTTCTTCTTCCGGTAGTCCTTACCCACCACGCCGTGGACGTTGTCCGCCGTGATGGGGGGGTAAACGATCCCCTCATCGCCCTCGCCTCCCCTGGGGCGGATGTCAGGGCCATCGGCACCTGTCCGGCACCCAGGGGCGGAGGGGTCCAGGCCCATCAGCTTGATCATGTCGTTGGTGTAGCCGAGCTTGCGGTAGATGGAGGGGGCCACTGAGTCGGGGACTGCGCCGACCCACCACTGCTTCGTGTTGCAGCGCCAGTTGACCTTCACCTCCGCCAGGGCCCCCGGGCCTCCAATGCGGTCCATGAGGGCCTTGTACACCTCTGGGAACTGCTGGAGGCTCTCCACCGGGACCGAGATGCGCTCGTCGCATACCGCCCGCAGGATCATCTGCTCCTTGGAGTCCGCCACGTCCTGGACCGGGAGCTGCATCACCTCCGCCGGGGTGTCCGTGAGGAAGGCCCGGGCCGCGAGGACCTTGCCCATGGCCCGGTAGACCAATCGCCACTCCGGTCCTGTCTGCGGAAACGGAAGGCCCTCCTCCTTCAGGAAGCACCGCGCGTCCTCCTTCAGGGTCTCCCAGCCCTCCAGGCGGGTCTGATTCTGGGCCTTGTTTTTCGGGCCCCGCTGCCTAGGGCCCTGCAGCAGTGGCAGAGACTCCCAGACTCCCCAGAGCTGGCGCAGGGTGTAGCTGTGCCCGAACATCCCCAGTAGGCCTGGGAGTGTCCAGGACGAGATCTGGCGCGTCCAGTGGAAGTCCTCATCCGGATCGTGGGGGGCAGCCCAAAAGATGGATCGCAGGTCCCCAGGGTAGGGTCGGTCCCCCGCCTTCGCCTGCTGGTTCAACTCATCAACGGAGTACCTGGCCCAGGGGAGTCCACCCACCTGGTGGTTCCTGGGATGCGTACCCTTCTCCAACGCCTCCGGATTCACCTTGGTGAGGTTTTTCGCCCAATCCGGGACGTGTACCGGGCCCGGTCGTCGGACCCAGCGGCCCGCAAAGATACGGACCTCTCCGACCCGTTTGCTCATCATCCAGCGCAGGACCGAGAGCTGCACCTCCGGGTCCTTGGTGTCCAGGCCCACCGGGGTGGCGGACGGCTTGTCAGGGCCCTCGGCACCTGAGCTCGTCACGCCAGAGCCCGAGGCTGGGGGGATGGTGGGCGGCCTGTCAGGGCCCTCGGCACCTGGGCGCCGCACCAGCCCCCCGCCTTTGGCATGGGGATCCCTGTCAGGTCCGGCAGATCTGACAGGAGGGCCGCCGGGAAGGGATTCCTACCCAGCGAGATGACCGCCTTGGCCTCAAGGTAGGAGTCCGTGAGGGATGTGAGGTCGTCCATACTGAAGTCCCTCCATGCCGTTGTCGGCTCGAAGACCCCAGTCTCAATGGCGACCCGGACCTCACTAGGCCACGCACTGAAGGGAGGCGCGATGGGCTCGAGCATTCTGGTTTCGAGGGAGCCCTTCGCCTGTCTGGCTTGGTGTTTCGCTTTCGCCTCCTCCGCAGTGGTCTGGGCCTGGAGGAGCTCCGGTGTGGGTCTCCCCCAGTCCGCACCCAGCTTGTCCAGCAGCTTCTCACGGAAGAGGTCCAAGTCCAGGTTCTTCAGGAGCAGGCCCTGACACGGACCGGGCCCGCGACCTCAAGCTCAGTGCCTCGGTGGACGTCAGCGAGCTGGCCACCGACCCGATGGCCTGCGAGAACCCGGACCAGGCCAGCTTCTCGGACTTCGTCCCCTCCTCGGTCCGGGCGGTGATCAGGAACTGCCCCATGGAGCTGGACGAGGAGTTTCTGACGGCCCCACCGGGGGAGAGGCCCCCATTGCCAGGCGACAAGGAAGAGGGCCAGGAATGCAGAGCCTTCCACCCGTCTGCGGTGAAGGCCTTCAAGATTCAGACCCGGCTCAACGCCACCACCATCGCCCAGGAGGAGGCCAAGAAGGCGGACCAGGTGGAAGCGAGCGCTCCGCGGCGGTCCTCCACGAACTTCAAGGGGGGGCCATTGACGGAGGAGGTGATGGAGGCCTTCGGCACCCGCGGACCGGGCCGCCGTCCAGACCGCATTGCCCTGGTCGCCATCTCCAGGGTGGCCGAGTTGGTCGCCGTGTCAATGGGCTCCGTCTTCTTGCCGCACCCCATGCACTTCGTGGCGCCCTTCTTCACCCAGGGCATGGTGCAGCAGGGGCAGATCCAGGATGTGGGCACCTTGCCCAGGGGGCGGTTCTCCAGGCCCCCGTACCCCAAGCCAGCGCGCTTGCCAACCTGCTGTCCCGGGGTGCTGAGCCGGGCCTCATGCTCGTACTTCATCTTGGCGATGTAGAAGGCCTCCACAACGCGCTCCAGGCCCCCCTGCTTGAGTTGGGGGCCCTCAAAGCCTCGCAGGCCTTGGCCTGCAGTCGGCGCAGCCTAGTCACCGTGGTCGCGTCGAAGCAAGGGAAGTCGCCCGCCATCTGGTCGTCGCTGAACTGGTAGAGGCCCTCCGAGACCTTGAGGGCCTTGGTGAACACGCTCCCCCCCGGCGGGGGGGCTGCGGGGTTCTCATCCTCCTCCGAGGACGCCTGCTCCTTGACCTTCGCCATCAGCTCCCGGCGCCTCTGCCACTTGGCGTCTGCCCGGGCATCCAGGCGGGCCTCCTCCAAGCGGGCTGCAGCCGAGGGGAACCTGGGCATCGGCAGCTCCTTCTCGTCCTTCGCCAGGAGCTCCTCCATGGGCACGTCCTCCTCCGGCGGGTTCAGGAGCTCCAGGAACGCCCCTGGGGGGCGTGTCAGGGCCTTCGGCACCTGCGCCACCCCAGGGGCTGCATCTTCCATCGGCTCATCCTCTGCCTTGCGCTTGGCCGGGATAAGGGGGGCCTGCTCCAGCTCATCTGCGCTGGAGAAGAAACGCTCGTCAGGTGCCTGAGGGACCTCAGCAGCCAAAACGGTCCATCCTTCTTCCTCCCTCTTCACGAGGCTCGCCAGGTACTTTGCCATGGAGGCCTTTGCCTTAGCCTTGGCCTCTGCTACCGCGGCACCAGCGTAGGCGGGGGCGTACATGGCTTTGAGAGTAGGGGAAAGAAAGATTTCAAATCACAAGACAAAAGATCAAAAGGTCCACTTGAGCCAAAATGGTGGCCCAAGTGGATACTTATTAAGAGTCAAGACAAGCGACCACCTACGGTTAACGCTTTAGCCCAAAATGAGTAGGTAATCAAGCACCAGCAACCTCTCAGCCAACCAACCCAACCTGACCAACCAACAAGCAACCAACCCCATGGCAAGCAAGCTGACTGGAGCGAATCTGTCCAAAGATGAATGGCATATCGGCACCTCCGATCTCGACCGTGGGCTACCATGACCAAACATGGCGACTAAGTTCCTGAATACCCACGAATTGTTCCAACGGCGTTGTGGGGACCAAACGTGTTTTCTGGCAAACAATGCAACAATTCGTGCAATTTCAAGCTGCGGCAGAAATTCAGCGCGCCTGGGCTTTGCAGGAATTGCTTGCGTTGGTTCTTTCATTCGTGGATGTCCGTCTTGTTTGCATGCTTGCACGTTTGCGCATTTTTGTGTTTGCGTGTGTGCCTGTTTGGACACCCGCTTGTTTGCCCGCGCCTGTTTGCTTGTTTGTGCCTGCTGCTTTCTGGACTGCGCGTTTTGGTTTCTGCTCGTTTTTTGTGTGCTTGTGCTTGTGCTTGTCCGTGTTTGTGTGCGCGTGTGTGTGTGGGTGCGGATGTTGGTGGGTGAGTGAGTGGAGTGGAGTGGAGTGGAGTGGAGTGGGGTGGAGCGGAGCGGAGCGGAGCGGAGCGGAGCGGAGTGGAGTGGCGTGGCGTGGCGTGGCGTGGAGTGGAGTGGCGTGGCGTGGCGTGGCGTGGCGTGGCGTGGCGTGGCGTGGAGTGGAGTGGAGTGGAGTGGAGTGGAGTGGAGTGGAGTGGAGTGGAGTGGCGTGGCGTGGCGTGGCGTGGCGTGGCGTGGCGTGGCGTGGCGTGAGTGAGTGAGTGGTGTGAGTGCCTGCGGGCGGGAACGCGGGCGGGCGCGCGGGAGCCGCGTGCGTGTGTGCGTGGATGCGTGTGTGCGTGTGTGCGTGGGCGCGTGGGTGCGTGGATGCGTGCGTGCGTGCTTGCGTGCGTGTGTGGGTGGGTGGGTGAATGGGTGCATGGGTGCGTGGGTGTCTCTGTGTGTGTGTGTGTGTGTGTGTGTGTGTGTGTGTGTGTGTGTGTGTGTGTGTGTGTGTGTGTGTGTGTGTGTGTGTGTGTGTGTGTGTGTGTGTGTGTGTGTGTGTGTGTGTGTGTGTGTGTGTGTGTGTGTGTGTGTGTGTGTGTGTGTGTGTGTGTGTGTGTGTGTGTGTGTGTGTGTGTGTGTGTGTGTGTGTGTGTGTGTGTGTGTGTGTGTGTGTTCGTGATGGTTTTATCCTGTTCATGGGTCCGCTTGTTTGCATGTCGTGTTAGTGTGCCGCGTGCTTTCCTTTTCGTCTTTTCCTTGCTTTCTTGCCAGTAAGCAGTTGCTGCACATGTCCGAAAAGAATATGCACGGAGCTAAAACGTGGCGCAATCTGGGACAGTCACATGCCAACAAGTCAATCGTCTGTGCACACCGATGTGCGCAAGGCACAAACCCAAAAGGTTGAGGTGGAACCAAAGCGCCGAGGCAACGTCAACCCTGGAGCTAGGGCCTTGGCTGATAATTCTCATGCGACTCCACGACTCGCAGGCATATGTAGGTGACTGCCGGAACGGCCCACCTGCCAAGTAAACACATAAAACACATGCGACCTGGCTGAACTTGGGATATTTTGGAAGCCCAAACAGGGCGAGGGGGGACACCCTGAAAAGAAGTACACAAAAGGTATCGGGTGGTTAACCACCCACCCACCGGCTCAGCAACGCACTCACCCCGGCCAAATGGGAAGCACACCCACCCAACTGCACCCGCCCAGCCGCATCCACGCTTACCGAGTGAAAAAACACACCCGCTCAAGAGCACCCACCCCGCGTCCGCGCAAGCGCGCTCGCTGAAGTGCACCCGCTTAGCACTGCTGCACCTTGCTCAGTACTGCATTCGCCTGCCACATGGCAAGCACACGCAAGAAAGAGCGTCTAAGAGCGCAAACGCCCGCCAAACGGCAGGCACACCTGCCCAAGTGCACAGGCTCAGTACAGTGCTGCACGCACGCCTGCCAAATTATACTCAGCACTGCACGCCTGCCAATTGCGTAGACGCAGGGAGCTAGTTGGCCCAAGCAATTGAAAGATCCCTTTTGCAAGCAAATCAAAACACTTTGGCATACACGGTCCATCAACTGCATTGTTTCATTTACTTCGCCCCTTGCGAACTAAGGTGGCCTGATTTCCCGCGTCCCTTTACCAAGCAAATGACAACAAAATAAATGACCGGCATGTTGCAGAGAGAGGGTTACAAAGAGCACCCGAAGCACATGATCAATTCATCCGGTGCTGCCCTTTGGGCATTTAAGGAATTGTGCGCCGTGTGCGTGTGCCGGGCTGGCCCTACCCTCCAACTGGGTTCGCAAGGCCAATCCAAACACAAGCACCACTGCTAAACGTGTGTCAGCGTCCCACGTCCGAAGCGATGTGCTCATACCCCATGCGTTTGACAAACAAATTTACCACGAGTCTCCCAAGGCAAAGGCAACGCCACCATGCTGAGAAAATGTGTATATCACACTGTACGTGTCAAAAGTGGGAGCCCTTTTTGAGAAGGGCGCAAAGGTTGATGAAAAGACTTCGAATGTGCCGCCGCTTGTGTTTTCATCGTTTTCATGGGGTGTGCTACTAGTTTGGCACGTGCCCTTCATGCTTAGCTGAAAGCTGCTCAATTAGGAAAACCCATCCACGGAACACATGCAAATCCACGCAGGGAGAAACTCTGCAAGTTCACCTTTTATCAAACATAAAAAGCATTGAAACAAAAAAAGTGTAAAAAGGTCGATTTGCAATGACAACTGAGGGGACACCAAAAAGGCAAGAGTCGCAAAGGCAACATACCCTTTCCAATGATAGAAGTGAACGCGTTGGGGTTTGGCAAGTCGTTAAAAGGGCACCAGTTTCGTCTTCTTCCATGTGACCTTTGAGTGTCCTAGTCATGTGCTGAGTTGCCAAGTCTTGAGAAGGGTCCGCTGTTCGCAAGTTTCGCCGGCGTGGCAAGGCCGAAAAAAAGGCGTGCCGCAGCAGTCTGCAGATCTCCCTGGCGCGGAGATTGGGGAGTCTAGACCCATGGAGTCACTTGGCTTGTCAAACACTTAGAACTTGGGGCTTGCTTTTGGTTCCCTGTAAGGCGGCACCAAGGTTTAAAAAAAAAAAAACTCCATGCTGCAGTCTCCGAAATGTCCGGTTTCCCGGTTCCCTTCCGTCAGCCCTCACTCAGCCCCACTCAGGAACACCCACAGAAGGAACCTGCCTAGAGAGCCCATGGATAAGAGACCATGTTGCTGTAAACAACGACCCTCTAGCCTTGCGGGTTCCATATAGCTAGTCTGATCCGCTATGGAGGTCAACAAGGCTCTTCACATCTGCTTCCTCTGTCAACATCAACCCGGCTTGGAACCCATGACAATCTCCTGGTGGACTCATAGGCGGTGTGACAACTTTGCTGAAAAACCGGTGGGACACTTCCCTACTTACCCGCACGCTTCTGCTTAGGGAAACTCACAACTTTGCCATATATTTTTCCAACAAGGTGCACCACCCAAGTTGGACGCCTGCGAACCGTCAGGCTTGCAAAACAATATGGGTTCCGGATTGTTCCGGCGCCATCCTGACCGTCCCAACCCTCGGTAACCATCCCAACCCTTGGTAAGCAGCTGCGGAACCGACGAACCAAACGCCAAACCCTAAAGTGAAGCTTGCGTTGGGCATCGCAAAGGCGTCTGACTGCGAGCTTTGGGTTGCAAGCTGTGCTCAGAATTTGCATCCCTAGATACCAAATATCCTAAGCCTGCTGCGCGCGGGATCGCACACGACAATAACTTGATGCTCCTGTGGCCACAAGGAGAAGGCCCTGCTTTGGAGAAAAACCGGTGCTGTTTTTCAGCAGGCCAGCAGTGAACCCACATGTTGGCTGGTTCCAATTTACCATAAAGAGGAGCAACAAACTAGCACATGCAAACATGCCAGCAGCCGCAGTAGAAGAAACAATGACCTTTCTTGTCGCTACTGAAACTGAGAAAGCGCTGTCGCTTCATCGGGTATGGGCAAGTTGCCTGGCTTGAAAACAACATAACGATAACTGAAAAGATACCCCCTTTAGAACAACTTGGGAAGACACCTTCAAAGAGGGCACCCTCAGGAAAAACTGGGCTGTCGCCTTTCGCCGGATCGCTTTCCCTCGTCTTTCTTTCCTTTGGGAACGCGGGATTTGAAAGGACATGCAGCATTGGTATAGCATTGGTTGCCTCATGGGGGCCCCGAACTGACGTTCCCTTTGTCTTCCCCTAGCCCCAAGGACGGAAAATAAACGTACCGGCTCAAAAAATTGGATTCGACTGTTTCAGGAGAACTCTGCGCGTTGCGCGCGATTTCGGAACCCAGGTGTTGCCGGCTCACCCGACGTCTTGTTCGCTTCGTGGCTCGCACCTGGTGTTGCAGCTTCGCAAGCGCAGGGCTGCCCCAGTCACCTGGCGCAACCAGCGCGGTTTGGAAAAAAACAACAGGGCGCCTCCCCACTGCACATATTCTAGCCGTCCTTATTATGGAAACCCGGTTTCCCAGAAATACACAAAACATGTCTGGAGCAGGGGAGTTGTCTTTGCACCCACTCTCTAACAATCAAGTTGACGGAGAGCCTTACTGTGAGCTCTGATTGGAAGGGAGCACAAAAAAGAAACCACGCTTTTTTGAAGGGAAGTCCCAAAAAATGAGACAATGCACTGCTTGCAGACGTTCATTCTTCCCGCTTCCTCAGGCGTCCAAACCTGGGCTCGGTTTTATTTAAATTGCCCGTGTTTCTGATGAAGCTTTTGACGTGTCTGGCAGGCTCCATGGACCCCTGCCAGTTCCCAAGCAAAGCGTCTGCAGCCATGTTGGCTGCAAAGATTTGCCAGCACACCACTCAAAGCCATCAGAAGCACTGCAAAGCCATCTAAGAATACCTGAGCAAGGACAACACCAAAACTCAAGCAACAAAACAAAAGCATCATCTAAACCAACCAACGCCTTTCGCCCCGTCCATGAGCCCATTTGTCCAGCCTCCCAGCGTGCGTAGAGGAGAAGGCAGCCGTAGACCGGGACCTTGCGACCCAGTCTATGGAGGAGCAGCTCCATGGGCCAAGGGTGCCAGGCTGGGACGTTTCGATTCCGCCATGAGGACTCACCGAGCACTTTCAAGGGCGCCTGAAAAAAATGCTGGCGTCCTTTATTTGATGAGTTGGGTTGCAAACCCATTGGAAGAAATGTGAACCCCGGATGGTGGCACTTTTCGCCGTTGTCAAGGAGTACCAAAACCACCGCGAAGGAGCCAAGGACCGTCAGCTCCTACGGCCTGACTCCATTTGGAGGAAACCAGTGACGGGTTCCTATGAATTCAACGACCGTTGGCTTGGCCCATGGAGCTTGGAATGACCCGCCGGGGCTCCATGAAATCTCCGAGCCTATGATCTGGTTTTGTAGGAGAAGTGAACCCCCCTTTTAAACATTCAATGGAAGACAGGAAAATTGTGTGCTTCGAATCAACACAGAGTTTGCTACTTGGCCCCGCCCTGACCATCCCTACTGTCAAGCGATTCAATGCTGCTGGAAAGTTTCACCTGTAAACTGGCTTTTCAAAGGATCCACGGGGGAGTCCGAATTTGAAAACCTAATGGCACGCCACGACTTCAGGAATCCACCGCGAGTGTGGAAAGAAGTGGTCGCCGCTGGTAGGATCCGGAAGCGTTTACATCCTCTTCTGGCTTTGAAGGAGAGCCCATAGGGAATGCAGGAAGTGGACACCTACATCCTCTCCGGCATGTTTCCATCGATTCGAAGCCACCAGCTTCATGCCGAGCGGGGGGCACTTTGGCCATTCGCCGATCCCTTGCGATTCGCCGATCCCTTTAGCCATGAGGGGCCGCTAAGCAGAGCTGAAAAAAAGCAACCGAGCGTGTGCGTGAATGTGTGTGTGTGTGTGTCCCCTTTTTTGGGTAGCCTTCTGGGCCTTACGGGTGTGTTCGAAGGAAAGCAAATGATAATAAACGAGGGGGACCGCCCATTTTACGGCTTCCCTTACTCTCCTCTCTGGAAAAAGCGACATCTCAATTAGGGACCCTGACTAAAGCCTCAACCTGGAGCCATCGTGAAACTTGGAGCCAACTCCATGGCTCGCAAAAGGCGGAGCGGATCGAAAGCCTCACGACGCCTGCTTGGCGTGCCACTGCCGCAGGCGCGCTGCTGCCAAGGACATGGTCGCCTCATCCTCTGCCGCTTATCAACTTGCGCCTACCCATTTGCAGCCTGCAGGCTGCAGTACGAAGGGGACGGGAAGGGGACGGGAAGGGGACGGGAAGGGGAGGGGAAGGGAGGGGCGCGGAGCCAAAAACGCCTCATTGACAAACACGCTCCATGTTCTTCCTGACGGTATCCCACTTCTTTCCTCTACTCCACGCAGGTTCCTCCATTTTTTCACCTGACAAATTCTATTGCAGAAGCTTAAAACGAAGTTAACACCCCAAACCGTAAAAACACGTTGGCTATCCAAAAGCAGGGTTCCAGACATTAATTAATCGGCCCGAATAAACAAACCTTTGGGGACTGGACTTTGTTTAGCTTGAGTATTGAAGGGGGGGGATATGGTGCCCCATTTTGTTGACCTCATGCCATACTGTAGGAAATGGAACATGGAACTCATCCCGCAACTCGTCGATCAAAAGGGTGGCCATGTTTGCACCTTGCCCTGAGCTAGCTGACGCTCACCACGAGCAAAAGCCTGGTCGAAGAGCAAAAAACATGGCGATGGCGAGAGGAAAGTCAGCTTATATGAACTCAACATAGCCTGCACGTGTCCAAGAGGGCCATTCTTCCCAAACAACCCAAGGGAACGGCATCTCGGATGCGAGACCAAAATCACATGAATCAACTGCTGGCAGCCACGCGAGAGACAACTCTACCACAACCGCACCTCGACGCGGTAAAAGAACCCAAAGGCTTTGGAAAGCCATGAATCTTGCCAAAGAGGACATCGAGCCGCTGAGACCTCTTCAAAACGAGGCGTCGGACAGCTGACTTCCTCCACCCCGTCCTTGCAAAAGGCGAAGCGGATGAGACGGTTCGCTTGATGCCGGCTGTCCGGCAAGTAGAAGGGGCTCACCGGAATTGCCGTCACACCAATGTGCTCGGTCATCCTGACAGGACAGCCATGACTTTTGGTAAACCTTTTTTGCGAGATGCTAATTATGATCCAAAACCACTATTGATGTTGTCAACACATCACAGGCTCACACCCATGATTATCTCCAAACCCGAGGCGAACCAGAACTATGCTCATAACCCCCTTTGCTGTAGTATGTCCGAGGCTCAGGCCTGTGGGGCAGGGTCCAAAGGTCTGCAATCTTGTGGCCTTCACTGTGCCGAATGCTTGAGGTTGCAACCCACGTGCTTAAACGCACTCCTTTTGGTATCTCTTTCAAAGAGGCCACAGGCAGTCTTCGTGTCAATGTTTGACAAACCCTGCCAAATAAAATGCCCCAATCCGAATTGGGTTCTTGACCCGAGGAATTGAACCCAAGATCCAATCCCTAGGCTCAAGTCGCCGAGGCAACCTGACAACTTTAGCTATGAGACCCAGCTATATCTGCTAAACACCTCAACTTGAAGAACCCAAGAGCTGTACGGACATCTTCCCATTCACCAACTGGGTGCTCTATCTGGACAAGAACAAATCTACATCGCTTGTGGGCGTGCCCTGACATCTTCACGCCATGATTTGGGCGTTCCTTGCGCCAGGGCCATGCGAATCCTATCCTTCAGTTTTCGGACCGAAGCGACTCCATCGCACAACTTGCTTGCGCACACCGATCACTCAATATATCTTTAAACTTGTGTATGGGCCAATGGAATCTTCCTTAACATGAACAGCTCTTTCCTAGACAACCCCTTCAAACCTCCCCCCAAAGTGTTGAAAACAGTTGGTCTGGGAGCAGGGCGTTGCTTTCACCCAGGCACAGGAAAGCCACTAAATGTGCTTCTCTAGATGACCGACCACCGCTGGTGGTGAAACCTCTAGATTCCAAATGACGGCATCCGAGAGATCCCTGGGACGTGCCACATTCCGTCCAAGTGGCCACTTGCACACTCGCACGTCGGGCCGCTCTTCCAGCGCCGCGTCTGGTGAAAGATGGGCGTCGGGGTCGATGCCTGTACCGAAGTGGATTCCCGGCCCTATGGGTTCGCTTGACCAGCCCAGCCTCCCCTTCAAAACAGAAACGGCTCACTTGCCCAAAGGACCCAGATATCAAAGGTTTACCGCCGTTTTGGACCTTGACCAAAAATGGACCGAAAAAAAAGGGAGCCAAAGATTTAGAATGGTTTTGAAAGGACGGTGTTTGCACCACTGAGACGAGGTTGTTTCAATCAGGAGTGAATTGCTTCTCACATGCTCCCCCCCCCAAAGAAAAAAAAAAACAAAAAGAAGAAAACAAAGAACACGGACTCCTGCGGCCGCCAGAAGGACGCCGGCGTCGCAAAGAACGAAGTAGCCCCCTTCCGGCACCACCGGCTTTAGGCCCACCTCCTGCAAGACCTTCACCTCATCAACCCCAATCCACATAACCCCCATTGGGGGGGGCCGTCTACGCCCAATGGGGATCCCCTAAAAGGAACACCTACAACTACCTTCTTCTGAGGACCACCAACTAATGGTTGCCTGTCTCGCCTTACCTCCAATTTGCGGCTTTGTCTGGTGGTTTGGACAAATTCAAGGTAGGGGCACCAAAAGGCAGGGTTCAAACCCCTATATAAACAAATTGCAAAGGAGTAAGCACAAAACAAAGGGAACCCGAACTCGCCCCAAGAGGTAACCCCACGTTTAAACTAGATTGAACATGTGTTGCTATGCAATCAAATCTTGCGCAATGCTAAAAACTTGCCAAACTCAAGCAAAGACGAGTGGGCAACGGGTGGGGTCATGGAATCTGCCGAAAGGTGGTCGCCTTTTATCAGTTGAACCCCTTTGGGACGGCCATGACACTGCAAATCCTTCCGGGTTCCAGAAGGATATATGCAGGAATGCATGTATGTATCTATATATAATTATATATATTTGTATTCTCATGGATACTTGAATCTATCCGTATTCATACATATGATATATCTTTATATGTGCAATATATGTGTGTGAGAGAGACCGCGTTCGCGGAAGTATGGCTTGAAGGAGTGACTGGACAAGAGAAGATCAAATTGGTTGGCACTTTCGATCTGGCCGCCAAACTAGACTTCCTTCAGTCAAGCGGCCAGCATATCCCGCTTTCCCTGCATCATGCCCTTGAACCACTCAAAGTACCCGTCCTGCAGGGTTGGTCGTGCTCGTTTTGGCCGGGCTTTCGGCTGCAGCTAAAACAAGTGCGGGAGATCGGCATAACCTCTTGCGTCCGTGAGCTCATTGCATTCCCTTTCAACACCACTGAAGGACACCTCCCTATTGGCCCGCGATCTTCAAAACCGCCAGGTGGCCGCAAAAAGGTGACCCTCTCAACAAGACCTCCGTGCATTGATGAAACGGTTGTGGCGAGTGAATAAAAGATGTGGTTCCTTTCATGGACTCTGTCATTGTAGTTTTGACTCATGTTGATCCCCTATGCATCGCGCAGAGGTCAGTCAGTTTGGCGCACTAGACACATGGACCCCAAAAAGCTCCGACAAATGCAAACCCAATAAAAGGCCAGCAATTCCCCCACTCACTTGCCCAAAGGACTCACAAATCAAAAGTGATCACTGTTTGGGAACTTTTTGGCAAACCAGTGAAAGAGGGAAAGCCAAGAGGCAAAAGCGCCAATTCGGACTGCGCCGAGGTCACAAAAGAGCATCAAAAGAGCCACCGGGCTCCTTCTCCGCCGCTTCAAACGCCCCTGCCGTGGCCTTCTGCAGCGGCGTGGCCACGCAGAAGTTGGTGGCCGCGTGGGACGCCAACCTGGGGCCCCGCGTGGCCTACCCTCCCCCAGACTAACATGGAAGCTCCCAGGACCTTTTTGTAAGACTTAGTTCCATTTACAAAGGCCTTTTGGGAGCTTCCATGTTAGTCTGAGAAAGTGTACTTGGTCGTTGCGCCAAGTTTGGGGCGTCCACTGACGGACTAGCAGAAGCCAGTTGCTTCTTCCCAGCTACACATGCAACTAACGCGGGAACATATGCTATGCATAGGAACCTGCCCCAGTTCGCCCCCTGAGGCAGTGGTTTGGTGTGTCTGAGCGCACTGTGTTGGGCTCTCTGAAAGGGCAAGAGAGAAGGGAAGTCAACATTTTTACGGGTCTCTAGTTGGGTAAAATGCACCAACATAGGAACAGCCAATGGTCAAAAGATCGATTCGCTTTGGACAAGTGAGTCTGAGCATATCAACTCTGGGGGCGAAGGTCGGAGGTGAGACTTTTCTAAGTGCAAATCGCGTCTTTCCCAGCACCCCACCGTGCTAGCTAACCACGGTTTCCTTCCCTCTGGGGTTTGTAGGGTGGTTTCCGCTTAGCGTGCTAACTAGAACCACTGAGTTGATACCCGTACTTGTCTGTTTCTCTGTGGGTATATGCATACGCGAAAGCTACAGTCCCTCCAAGTACCCAGGAAACCACCGACACAAGACGGGCAGTCAGGGCTACCTGAGCCTTTTGGAACCGAATGGCCAACATGCGGTAGGACGACTTTGGGCCATGTGGATTGGTGCAAGACTACGCCGGGTCGACCAAAGATAAGGACCAAGGGACACCATCGCGCGGGTTAAATACAAAGCCGCTGAGGACATATCTTGCTGATCCTTCTTCCGAAACCTATGGGGAAGGAACTGTCCTGTTTTTGCCCCCCCCCCCCCCCCCCAAGCCAGCTGCAGGAAGGTGAGGCTTACGTTTTCCCCACCAGGAGAGCTCCAGAGACCCAAGAAACCGACTCGGCTCGGGAAACTTGCTTGGAGACCAAGCTCAATTGTCTAATCACTTCCTGAGTGGACTGGCCACTCAAGAAAACGCCTGAACTTGTTGTTTGCCACTAGGATGGTATTCCCGAAAAGTTTAATGTCCAGGAACTCAGGCAGTGAGCCTACCCTTGTGAAGAAGAAAGGGCGTTTTTGATCAAGGCCCCTGCTTTCTTCAGGAACGAGAAGCAGCGGCGCCGCCAAAGCTGGCGGAGCGATGACGTAGCCCACCCGCCAACCAGTGCATGAGAAGGTCTTCCCGGCGCTGAAGAGGGTCCTAATGAACACATTCCCCAGGTTGCCCCGAGAATTCATCTGGGTGTCTCTCAAGCTTGTTTGAGCCCTAGGCAACTCAGAATGGTTGGAGTATGGGGCCCAAGGGCAAATCTATCCGCCGCAAAAACACCACCCGTAGGAAACCGCGCGACAAACGTCCAGGCGTGGTACAGCTGTCATTTAGGACTTATGCAAGGGATATGTTGGGGGGGATTCTCACTGGGGTTTTGTACGTTTGGTATTCGTACCCCGGAACGGGTACGTTTCTGATTCTGGCAACTGCACCAGGGGCACGGAGTTAGGCCATTGGATTACGTGTGTAGGGAACATACATTGTCCTGCAGTCCCCCCAAAATGGTATGATTCCAAATGGCCTCCCTTCAAATGGACTTTCTTCCCCAGCAATTGGCGCGCTTTACGGGAACACCTAAAGGGGAATTATTCTTCCACCAGGGTAAGCATCCAAAACGGCCCACGTGTGACACCTGCTGGCTAGGTTCATGGTGCGCTCGAACATCCCAGGCAGCGATGCAAAGTGTACATGTTCGTGCCCATCGTAGACCTCGCAGCTCGATTCCCAGGGTAATGAATCAATAAAACCATGGGACGATTGATTCCTACATATTGTCAACTGACCGACCACACCAAACCACATATGGCGACTAAGGCATGTCACGTTTAAACAAAATAATGGTGTCTTGCCCCCGTACGTGCAATAACTTTGGGAATTCCCTGGAGCAATTCTGATATTAAAGCAAATGAAGGAAGGAACACCGTCCCAGCCAAAGTTTATTGGTGCCTTGGCCCAAGTCACTGGCCAATGGCCCACGGAAAAAGAATACTCAATGAATCTGAAATGGCAGCCGCCGCCAAACAACCTCCGCGGAGGATCTTTTTTGGCACCCCTTTTTGGGATCTTCTGCCGGGGACGGGGGAGAAACGTGAAGCTTCTATCCAAAAGTTGCTGTTTGTTTGCAAAACCGGGTTTCGGACTTTGGGCTCAACAGCACAAAGCTCTGAACGTTCCCCTCTGGCGCCCATGGGAAAAGAAAGATACCCCTTTGGAGGTTTGGGGTGGTTTCCCACTTACCCCTCTACATGAAGCAGACGTTCAACTCCCCAAACCACCAAGTTGGGGTTGCCGATTCAAGGAGAGAACAATCCGAACAAAAGAAGCAAAAGAAAGAAAAAACAAAAAACACTCGGGAAAACGGGTGCCACAGGCCCAGTGGACACATCTCTCGTAGACCTCGTCGGATATCACCAGAAGCTGCGGGTGCCTGCGCACCAGGTCTGCGATACCTTCCAACTCCTCCCGCCGGAAGACCTGTCAGAGGTGTCCAGCCTCTGGAAAAATTAAACACACATGGGTTTGTTAGAATCTGGTTTCCTTTTGCAGCCCAATGAAGGGTACCTTACCCATATCCAGTCCCCTGTTCACCCTTTGAAAATTAAATTTTGCTGGCCAATTGTCAGTGGGGGGTGTGAGGGTTCAGGTTTGCAGCATGTCCTAAGCGACCTCTTTGTGGCTTTCCATGTTAGTTGATGAGATGGTCAATTTGGGAAGTAACCACTGCCCCCTTCTTCAAGCATGGGAGTGAACAAGGCGCCTCTCCAAGTCCCTGTTCTGTCTTTTCTTCGAGGCTCAGGGAGCCAAGCGGCCAAGCGAGCCTTCATGAAAGGCTATCCTTTGGCCGTGTCTTGTTTTTGGAACCTCCAAGATGGACATGGACCCCGAGCCATGTCAACACCCCGCCTTGCCCAAGGGAGAGCTGGGAGTGTTAAACATCAGAATCCGCGTGGATGGCGTGATGGCCTTCCTCACAGAGACCAATCCCTTGGACATTTTGGGTCACCTTAATCAAAAGAGCAAGAAACCCCAAACGCGCGCCGAAGGCTGCGCCCTGAACAAAAAGAGGTGGATTGACCGTGGTTAATCCCTCAGCGGTTCAGGGGGTTGTCTCTACACTCTAGTTCCGCACTCAGCGCCCTTTTTCAGTGAGCGCTTGAGCCAAACGGCGTTTGCCGTTTGACAAGTCTGTCATGTCATGCAACCCTCAACCTAAACCAAAGTGGCCTCATGCAAACCTCACGCCAGTGAACACACAACTAGGCAAGTTACCATGCCTTTGGGGGCAAAGGGGTCGTTATTTCTTGACTCCCCCCTCGCCGTGTGCACTAAGGCAGGGTAAGCTTTTGCTTTGGAGCGCGATACGCTGCTCCCTGGTCATCAAGGCTTTAAAAGGATGAAGGATATTTTGGCACTTTTAGTACTCATAGCACTGCTTTCGGAATGACTTTCTACTTTTTGATGTTGAATCGAGTATCTTCTAGCTCTTCTGGGAGGTCTGTGCGCATTCCCAGGAGCCTCAAGGCGTGATCCCACTTATGTGGAGGCAAAGCCTTGGTAAAGATATCGGCAGCTTGGAAATCGGTCTTCACATATTCAAGCTCTACTCCAGTGCCTTCCTGTAACTGTTCTGCAAGGGATGCTAGGTTAACCCTATGTGTCCTAGAAATTGATCGCAACTTCGAAGAGTGCCCTTTCCTTGCAACCAGAATAGTAGCTTGATTGTCTTCATGGATCCTGAGGGTCATTGGGCGACCCAATAGTCGATCCCACAGACTAAGTGTCGGGAGTCCCTCCTGATACAAAGAAAATGCTAACGACACAATCTCTGCTTCTGTAGTGGAACGCGACACAGAAGTCTGGCGCTTGCTAATCCATGCTAAGGGGAAGTGGGAATTCGGACCTTTCAGGGCGAGAAACCCCCCTGACGTGGACTTGGCCCCCTCCTCTCCTGCAAAGTCAGCGTCGACGTAGAGCGCAAGATGCAGCTCTCTGGGATCGTCTTGAACTGTGCCAACCAACCTGTGCGTTGTGGTCGTGTTAATGTAAGCTATTAGCCTAGCCAACTGCCTATCATTATTACGCGACCATTTTTGAACGCACGTTGCAAGATCCCCGATGGGCTTGATTATGTCTGGACGTGCAAGACGTCCCAACCACAAGGCCTTCATCAAGATTTTACAAGCGGCTGAGCTCAGTTCACCTGCTTCGGCATCATCTTGTGTTGGCAATGACCCTTCTGGACAGAATGGGGTCAATGCCTTGCGGAGCTTACTAATCGGCTGACCTGAAATGGAGACATATAGATCAACAGTTTGCTTGGCGTAGTCAACCATATCAAAAGCCATTGCGTTGGACAGCGCGCCAAAGGCTGCGCTCTCGGCTGGATTAGGCTCGCACTTCGGGGCGTTAATGATGACATGATTCCTTCCCAAAACACGATATATCGGTTCTGGGGGTTCAATATCAACACATGACATCAGCTTTTCCCAAAAGGGATCATGCTGCTCTGCCGGCCCTGAAAGTGTTCGATCATCCACATAAGTGGATAGCATTAAGCCGGTTGAGGGGAAGTAAAAGTTTCCTGGAAATTCTTGGATCTCCTCTCCGGTCTGCTCCTTCAAGATCTTCTTGAAGTGCTGCTCCCATAGCCCCCCCGCGTCGGGGTGACCGTAGAGTGCTTTTACTAGAAGGACTACCGGTTTTATAAACTTTTCTTTCCACCACTTCGGACGAAGTTCCGGCGGCAATGATATCCATGTCTGATGTTGAGATCGAAGTAGGGCCTGGATATATGCCTTTACGGCGTCTGCCGCCGTGGTTTTGTGACCTGGCAGTGAGCCGTAGGCAAGGCAGTTGTTCAAACCCTGAACGGACGTAGGGTTGGCGCCGAGTTCTTGATAAACGGCCGCCGCCCCATATTCGTCCCGCGCACAGTCCCCTCGGTATACTATACGCCCCTTCACTTTCTGTAGATGCTTTGCTAGCTCAAAGAATTTGATGGAGGCGATAGTCATTAGTTGCCCGAAGTGGACTTTAGTGTGCGTCCGTCGCGCTTCAGCAGCGACCTCTCCTTGCTCTCTCACGGTGCTGAGATCCCAGACTCCCGCATTACCTAAGCCGTCTGCTTCTTCCTTTATGGCCTGTAATGCCTCGGACGAGGCAAGCATTTCTGAACGTGAAAGAAGTTTTGTGACCATGGCGGCTATGTCGGGAGAAGTCTCCTGCTTTGGAATTCCCTGAATTTCCCTAACGAGATTATCCAAGTCAAAGAGTTCTTCAAAGAATCTGCGGGAGGTTGGATCTGATTCAACAACTGACGCGAGAGCCCCAACACCCGAAAGTGCGGAGGTATGCTTCAAGGACTGCTCCTTTTCCCGATGCTCCTGTTGCACGATGACAGCCTGGACTGGCATTGCAGGCGCGCATGGTGTTGCGACATGTGGGTATAACGCACTAGCGATTATCTTGCACATTTCTTGTGGATAAAAGGCGGTGCGTGCAGTGTTGCTACCTGCGGCCTGTGCATGCTTGAAGGAGTGTTGGTGGGGGCATGTCCTATTCTGGAACCCATCATGAAGTTCCTTGGATGTGGTCATGAGACGCCACGGCTTCTTGATGGGAGTCCCTTCCTTGTCAGTTAGACCTACTGCACACCCGTGGAAAGTCACTGAGTGGAAGCGAGACGCATGCTTCTCGAAGAATGCCTTTACGTCGGGGCGCTCAGTCGCGAGGCCACTCGAAAGTGACGTGACCCTCTTGTTCTATCACTACTTCGGCGTGCTTTGTGAACCTTGCGAACAACGCCTCCGATCTTTTAACCTGTGCACGGAGATACTGCTTGTATTTATTGCCATACTTATGGACATTTAGCCTTTGCCATGGCGACCCGGAGGTGCACGGAATGGCTGCCCACATGTTAGGCTTGCTACAAGACTGCAACTGAGCGGTCAGTTGCTCATCCCCTTCATTGGTTTCAAGATCGATGTGTTCTTTAGCCAGTCTCACGTGGGGAATGCCCAATGCTTGATGCACTGCTCCCATGGTGGAGTCACTTGAACATGCATACTCGAACATTACAGGCATAGAATTTCCCCGCGCGATACGCTTGCGGGCCCTCTTATTCCCTACGGAAAACTTTTTGCATGGCTCCCTTTTGGAACATGGCATGCCGAACACAGGCAGAGTCCGAGCCTCCCTCTTGGTGAAGGAGTCGGCTACGTGGCACGTGAGTGACGTGGAGGTTGCAGTGGTTGTTGTCACCGCCGCGCCAGTTGTGGCTGCAGGCGGCGCGGTTGGAGGAATCCCCCCTGGCCGAGACGGAGCTGGCTTGCCGCGAAGAGCATCATCATGCTCTTCGGATGCCCTCAGTGCTTTCTCGAGCTCATCGGGATCAGATAGATCTGCCTTTTCAAGGCGGGAAAGCTCAAGTGCCTTTTTAAGGTCGGCATCGTCTTCTTCGAGACGTGCCTCCTTGGCTGCATGAACTGGGTCAATCGCTTCGGAGGGGCGAAGTGACCGCTCTACCTCGACGGCAGCCGAGCGCTTGGAGCGCTCCTCGGCTTTCTCTGTATCGACAAGCCTTGCGAAGCGGCGTCGACATTCGGGGGTATGGTACCGGGTGCGCCCGGTACAACCTCGACAACCTGGTGTTTCACGGAACCGGATTATCCGATCCACAGTGATGTACACGCCTCGCGGCGTGCCTGGAGCGGGAGTCGGCGGTGCAGCTACTTCGCTAAACGGAACCTCTTTAAGAGCGACTTCTGGGAGCTCACCCTCGGCTTCCCCCGTCCGCAGCGCCTTGTGGGCTGCTGCCGCAACGGGGAAGCAAGGCTCACCTTCTTCAACGAAGAGTTCTGCTTCCGGGACATCATGCACTACAATCGCTCGACGAGTCCTAAATTCTTGATAATCTAGGACCTTGACCACATGGCGATACCGAAGGCCTGCGTCAACCCTCCAGCCCAAAAACAAAGCAGGTGCCAAGTTGGGTTCTAGAGTGCGCTTATTAATGCCCTTTTTACGGTAATAGACAAGCTGACCAAAGCAATGCCTAATGCCATCGAACTTCGACTTTGTCAAGGCTTCCCATTGGGTCTTAGCCTTGTCGAATGTTGCAGGTCTGTCGAATGACATGGAGAGGCACGCAAAGGGGTAGGAGTGAGTGTGTAGATCGTATGGCAACCCACTCTGGAGGTGGATGGATCTGCAACATTCCTTTTCTTCCCTAATGTCCCTTTCCAACTCGGCATTGTGGGGCCATCGGTTCGGCAGCGAGGTTTCGGGTGTTAATCCGACCTCATGAGCTGCCGCTTCAAGCTCTCCAGCTTCATCCATTTTGACCAGACATGTCGGAGAGAGCTCGTTGGCTTTCAAACCTAGGAAGTGCCTTAGATTTTTGGAATGGGCTGCTGTGTCCCTTTTGGATACAGGATATGCAATCCTTGCTCCAGAGAAAACATCCCTGATGACGTGATGAGATTTAATCCCTCCGACTCCAATGCCCGCATGTTCATCTCCTTTCGCAAGGATGACACTGTCAGTGGCGAGCTGTTGAAACGGGGCAGTAGGATTGTCGATCCCGTCATCGGCACGACCATCGGGTTTGCGAGCAACACGCGCTGCGGTGTTCTTAGCAATCGCACATATCCGACAGAATGGATTCTTTGGGAAGTGTGATCGAAGGTGCTCGGGAGAGTTGGCTGCTGCCCGGAGTACCCTCTCATCGCTTGGCTCGCCATCGGCTAGCTCTGCAAGCGGCACCTCATCGTCCCGGTGTGGTGGGACTGGCGGTGCTTCTGGCGGTGGAATCGGAGGAGGTTCTGCTTCGAAGAGTTCCCCATCCGCAACGGAAACGGCATCGTCTCCATCCACCGCCGCGCCTGGACTGGCTGCGGCCTCGACGGGCTGTAGATTGGATGGCTGATCAGCAAGCTTTGGGATGACGGTTTCGTCATACTGGGGCAC